GGACGAGGGGATGAGACGTGGAAGAGAATGTGAAACCCAAGATGGCGCCATCGAGACGTGTCGCAGCGAGTTATGAAACAAAAGGGTGGCGCGAGCCGGCTCCGTTACAGAGCAGGCTACTGGCGAGGCTGCTGAATCTTAGGGCGCATTTCCATTTCAAATGCGCTGATACCGCGTAACACCCGCTCGTGTCACTATTTACTCACGCTCGAGTCGGGATCCTTCGCTCCCCTTCCGTCCCGATAGACACCCTTTCCCTTTCGTTTCCTCCTCGTTCTGCGCATCGCCGCTCGCAGCGAAAGGGAACGGAAGGAAATGCAATTCAACGCTGCGAAAATGGTTCCAGGAGGCGAGGGACGAGTCTTCCGGATGGATTTCTCGATTACGGTTACGAAACTGATTAGGCCTTTCTGTCGTCTGCTTCTATCCCCGATCGAACGAGCGCATCCCTTGCACGATTGATTATCGCAACGGGATCTTTATTTCTTGCCTCGAGGAAAAGGAAATCGAAATCGTTGATTCGTGAACTTCTTTCTTTCTTTTTTCTTTTTTTTGCATTCTTAATTCTAAAACAAGTCCATCCTTCTTAACCCTTTGCTCTCTCTTTGAGTCGTAACTCCAATGGTGACTCTTCATGAGATTGTTGAAATTTGAATATTTCTTTATGTTTAATTTTTTTTAAATATTATTTTATAAATAGATTCCTAAAACTTTTTACGTACAATCTTATGAGGTGTAATTTTATCTTATGAGTATTATCTTATGCTAATTTTATAAAACCACCGAAATGCGCGGGTCTGAGTCTGGAGTTGCTGGTTCGACCGAGAAAAACAGGCCTGGAGTGCAAAGGGTTAATAATATTTCGAATATTTCGTTGTATGTATTACAGATTCAAGTTACTGTAGTCCTAATTCGGGATCGAAAAATCTCAAAACCCATTCTTCTTCTTCCCGTTCGCGGGAGAAGTTCGAGAAGCTTTCGGGAAGTTTCTTGGAGAAGTTGAAAGGTGAGGCGGCGACAATAAACTGGGGAATAAATTCGACCGGTGAAGCGAGTTTCCGCGGGTATGGATCTTGCCAAGTTTGTCAATTTGCCCGAGTGGAGAAACTATCGCGAAACTCAGTTATCGAGCCGGGGCTGTATTCAAATTCCATCATAATCGCGAAGAACGAAGAGAAACACAGAGGCGAGTACAGGGAGGGGCCAACGCTCTTATCAAACCAATTCCATTACCAAGATTACATCATCCTACTCGTTCGATACGAAATCGGGCGTTCTTCCTCTCCCTATGACGAGAGGAAGGGGGAAGAGGAAGGGGTTTGATCCCCTCAGTTTTCGCGGCGGGGCTTTTATTCGGCCACATGCCGCCGCCTGCCCCTGTCCCACGTTAATTAGTTCGAGATGGTCGGGCTGGGCGAAAACTGTTTGCCTTACCCTTCTTCCTGTCCTGTGCGTACGACTGGTTAGCCGGCGGGGATAACTCGCCCCGTGATTGTATTGCTTTCCATCCTTCTTCCGCTCCCCCCTCTGCTTTCTCCTTTCCTCTTCTTTTTTCTCGATTCGAAGGAGGAGGAGGAGGAGGAGAAGGTTCTTGGTTGAGGTTAACACCAGGGATGGGATGGCACAGATGCGGAAAACTGCGTAACGTCCTCCTCTTCGAGGGGCAACTTTTCGGTCCTCGAACCCGAGTACCGGTCATTTCCTCTCTCTTGGAGGGGTTGGGCGCCGCCTATCCCTTTCTAATCGAAGGATGAAGGGGGATATCACGGTGATTTGAGCAAGGAATCAAGTAGCCGGAGAGGGTGGATTGATGTCGCTTCTTGGTCGGAACGGATGATTGATGCTTGCCCGTGTTTGATAATCGGATTCCCTGGCTCGGTTTCCTTGACAGTTTTGCCAAGGATAATTTGTTTGGAATGAAATAATCGAGGATTAGTTTTTGATCCTGGCAATTCTTCGAGGTAATAGCTTTTTAAGGTTTTTAAGCTCGAGTTGAATCCGATTCTGGATTTTCGATCTGGATTATTTTGATGATTAATCGATTTGGATTAAAGCAGGAAAGGAGGAGTTGTTGTGTTTTTTTTTCTTTTTTTTTTTTTTGAATTAACTGGTTGAAAAATAGTAACGGCTATATATTCGTTCGACGAATAATTATTTCGAATTGAAGTTTCTTTTTGTAGAGACGATTCGTTGTTTACAACTGGAAAAAGTTTTCATGGAGAGCGGTTTTGTTTCGAAGGCCTCGTTAAAAACTACCCCCGAATTGGCTCGGATTTTTATGCCAGCCAGTAAACACAATGAATTCCAAACTGAATCGAATCAATGAAAATATTTGTGTATAGGTTTCGAAATAATCGCGAGAATAATTGACAGAATTTTTTTCCATCCCCTTCCTTAATTATTCCTTGATTAATACGAATTTTTCGCTTCTGAGAAATTTAAACTCTTTTCACATACCATTTCAATTCTTCGATTATACATTTTCTAAAAATTCCATATTTATAATATACTTTCTCTATTCCCCTCTTTAGAATTCGTTCTCTTTCAGAATCATTCTTTATCAAATTCCAAAGAATCTTTTACGTTTCCTTTTCGCGATCGAGATGTATGTCTTCAACCCCTTTCATCTTCTTTCGAGTCAATTAAAACTATCGCCCACTTTGC